GGAGGGGGAAATTTGAGGATGTATTCTCTCTATACGTGTTTTAAAACACTATATTTCTTCATTTGTTTCAGAATATTTTGAATAAATGGCCCTATAAAAAATAAAAGATATAGTTTACCTGCCCGGTCAGGCAGGCTTTGGGACACACCCACCTGCCCGACTATGGGTTTTACCTGCCCCGGGCAGTTGGGTAGTAGGATCTGTCGAACCTTGCAGTAGTCTAACAGTTTAAAAAAAAAAAAAAGGCATGAATTTCCATCTCCTGGTCTGAGGCAGACAGCAGAGTTTGGAGAGATTGTGCAGGTGAAAACTACATGTGGAAACCAGATTTTTTACATGTTTATGTAGTGAGAGGTCTGAGTCCAGGCTGACCCTCAGCTTACACACTCTGCTGGACTCCAGGAACCTGGCTGCTCTTTTATCTGTGGGATTTTATTTTCTGGGGCCAGGATCAGGACCTCTGTCTTGTCAGACAGCCACTGGTTTACTTTGGACATGTAACCAATAAGAGACAGTATGTACACAGATGAAACATGTTCAACATGTGCAGACTGTGATGCAGCTGTTATTGTTTGATAAATAACTACAGTCACTGTGTTGTCAGGTTTATTCTCCGGGTCCGTATGGAGACTACAGTGCTTCACCTGCTCACCCCACTCAGATAGTTTACTCTGCWGACGGACAGCCTTATGCTGTGGCTCACCCGTACCCGTACCAGTACCCGTACCAGCACCAGCACCAGTACCAGGGTAAGTACCTGCACATGTGCACAGAGGTATGATGTGTCTGCTGAGTAATGTCTGAATGCAATGGTTGTGTTGTGTAGGTGGATATGTTTCTCCTGGAGTGAACCACGTTGTTATTCAGGAGCGGCAGCGTGACAGTGGTGGAGACATGGCTCTGGGGATGTTGGCTGGAGCAGCTACTGGTCTGGCTCTGGGCTCCTTCTTCTCTGTCTTCTAACGTCACAAGTCCTGACAAGTCACAGCAGGTTTATTTACAGCAGATATATTTACTGTAGATATATTTACTGTAGATATATTTACTGTAGATTTATTAACTGTAGATATATTTACAGTAGATATATTTACTGTAGATATATTTACAGTAGATATATTTACTGTAGATATATTTACACTAGATATATTTACTGTAGATATATTTACAGTAGATATATTTACTGTAGATATATTTACTGTAGATATATTTACAGTAGATATATTTACAGTAGATATATTTACAGTAGATATATTTACAACAGATATATTTACAACAGATATATTTACAGCAGATATATTTACTGTAGATATATTTACAGTAGATATATTTACAGTAGATATATTTACAACAGATATATTTACAGTAGATATATTTACAGTAGATATATTTACAACAGATATATTTACAACAGATATATTTACAGCAGATATATTTACAGCAGATATATTTACAGTAGATATATTTACAGTAGATATATTTACTGTAGATATATTTACAGTAGACATATTTACAGCAGATATATTTACTGTAGACATATTTACAGTAGACATTCTGCTGTCGTCTGTCACAGTGTTATGTATCAGACTAGGATCTGTCAGTAAACTGTATGAAACAGGGCCAACAGCCTGTAAACTCTTTGCTTCTCTGCTCAGTTTCCGTTTTGTTGTTTTAAATTGAAAATAACCAGAATCACAACATTACTGTTAGTTGTCCTGTAAATCACAACATTACTGTTAGTTGTCCTGTAAATCACAACATTACTGTTAGTTGTCCTGTAAATCACAACATTACTGTTAGTTGTCCTGTAAATCCTCTGCGTTCGTTTCAGCACGTCTCATTGGTTTGTATGATGCAGGATTAAGGCCACAAGACAAGATTGTATTTAAAATTACGAGATTTAAGTTGTATTATAATTTCTTTCCTATTATGACTTTAATCTCTTAAAAGTCTTTTCTCATACTTTATTC